AGTAGTGCAGTCCCGCATTAAAAGTTACTTAAAGGTAAAGACCAGTATTGGAAACGCCCCAATTTCAAAAAATGAAATGGAAGCTCTCATTACCAATCATGTGAAAGAATATGTTTTGACTAATACATGATGATACAAAATTTGCCGGGAAACCGCCTACTAATTCATATATTTGGTAAATTTGTTTCTCTCATGGTCTGTGAGAGATATAGGGTAGTCCCTTATACATCTTTCTGTGTATAGTGCTTGTAACTTTACGAAGAATGGCCAAATTTCTTATCATTTTGATGATTCCAGAACCTTGCAGATGCTAGATGCTAGATGATCAACCTTTTCTGATCGATTCCACAACGTTTCTTTCACAATGCAATCGCATGACCATAACTGGTCTTTACCTTTAACCATGAACATTTTGAAATTATGTATCACTGATACTTCACTCGTAAATACAACCAAAAGGATTTCACTGAGTTCACCCATCAGATACATGTTTATTCAAATGTTCTCCATCATGAAAAGTATCGCTGGAACTTCATTCATTACCATATCCAAATATTGTTATACTGGCTTCAAGCGGTTTTGTCCAGAATGTGCCGGAAATGTTCAACAGTAGCTTCCCTTTAGGAAATCAAATGAACGCTTTGAGTGAATCACCTGTTGGAGATATCCGTGCTCAGTTTTGGCGCCAAGATCGGATCAGGTTTGTCCCCTCGCAAAGTTCCCTAAACAATCACATGGATATGGACCCGTTATCCCACATTGGGAAGGATTGTTTGAGGCTAATTGGATCGCTGGGTTTTTCTTCTTCCAGCAACAGTGATGTATTCTTTTATTGCCACATATTACAAAAAACATTAGATCATGTACATGATGTATAATTTATGTTAAGAGGAACTGACAGAGATACATGTATGGTTTTAAGTGTACAAAACCACCAGTTTTATGTAAGCAGTGATTTTTAACAATTTGAAGTATTACTATTTTAAAGAATTTATTGCTTAATTTCCTTCTTAGAAACTAATACCATCGTGCATTTTTAACATTTTAGAATGTTGCCAAGTCAAGTTATGTGTTGCTTTTCCACACGGCTTCGTGTAGACGCCAAATAGTGATAACGCACAATAACGGACACAGTATGTGGAAATTTGGCTCTTTTTATGATGCTCATTCATATACATGTTACATACTTCTAGGGCTCTAACATTAATTATTGAATGAACCAAAATACAAAATCAGCATTCGTCCTGATTCATGGTTATTCGTTGAAATGATAATTGTTTGTGGACAAAGTGCAGCCCGCGTTTCAAGGTTTAGATTCCTGTCAAATCGTTCTGATCGCTGTGAAGACTGGGCTAGATTCTACTCACATCTCATACGACCTGTTACGAACAAATCGCAGAGCTTTCAGCTGTTTCTAATTGGCAGCCATTCTTGAGCAGTTGCACGGATAAACGGAGGAGTCATCCTCTTCCTCTTCGGACACAGGCTGACACATCACATTTTATCACAATTCCAAAGCCTTGAACAGACCCTAGCTCAGGCAGTCAAGCTGTGTCAAGTAACTGCTCAAGTACAAAGCCTGTGCAGTATTCCGTCAGATAGCCCCACAGTGCAAATACTGTGAATTTCAATTTTTCAATTTAAATATACTAATGTTTCCAACAAAACATTACAAATCAATTATAAACAGAGGGGTCCACGAAAAAGCAATGCTTGTATAAGTGTGAACACCCCACAACGACGAACCGTGGTTTTTCTTGCCTGCAAAACCAACACCCCCCCCCCCTCCCACCCCCTCCCCTTCCCCGCTCCTCATCTCCTTAATGTAGGTGAGTCTTTGCCAGCCAGAAGACACGAGGGTTTATGAAAGAAGATTCACTATGAATATGACGGACAAAGAAAGAGGACAAAATATACAGTTCCTCAGGTAGACAAAGGAGCATCCCTTGACTGCTATTATGTAAAAAAAAAAAAAAAGGTGTCACATGCATATTGACCTGTTTTACTCATTTTTACATAATAGCAGTGAAGGGATGTTCCTTTATCTACCTAAGGAACTGTATATGTTGTCCTCTTTCTTTGTCCGTCATATTCATAGTGATTGAACCCTCCTAACACGAAATCTGTTGCGGTCTGCACTAACCTCTTGTCTGCCTATCCCCCAGTGAAAGCAAGACACCTCGTATATTACTTTATGATACGTCAATACATTAGGAGAGTTAGCAAGGCGCCTTATTTGACGGATTTCCCGCCCGAAACGTACGATAATGATAAAATGCCAACACCGTTGAAAGCCTCACATCGTTCTCCAAAGTTTACTTGTCTGCCATTCCTGCTTACTCACTTGCTTACATATTTGCAGAGCAAGAGTGCATCTCGATCAGCCTGAAAGGGGTACATCAGGCAACAGGAGCTAGAGAAATTGTGCTTTCTAGTGATTTTGTTTCTATGAGGTTATCTCGAGAAATCGAGCTTTCTATAGTGAATTTGTTTCTATGAGCTTATCTGTTGAAATTGAAATGTAATTATGTAATCGTTTTGTTTTTCATTATGGATGTAAGTATGGATGTAATTATTTGCAAGAATGCATTATCTTCATGGTTGCATGTAACGTAACAAATCACAAAATAAATGTTGGAAATGTATTTCATTGAAATACTTTTGGTGACTGCAATGAATTATAAAACATTCAGTTGTACCAGATCAAGTAAATGCTTTATATCACAGTTAGATCACCCTTCTCTCTCTCTCTCTCTCTCTTTCTCTCTCTCTCTCTCTATCTTCCTCTCTCTCTCTATGTCTCTCTCTCTCTCTCGCTCACACACTCACATCCCTCTCTTCCTCCATCTTCCTCCATCTTCCTTTCCCCTCACCCATCTTCTCTCAATATATGTCTTTCATTATTGTTTCAGCGAAACATGAAAGTTATCTGTTTTTTCCAAGATTTTTGCAAGATACCGTATTGACCCTGACCTACTTCTAGGGTCAAGTAAGTGTATACGTTGCAGAGCACATTTTTCCACGGATGTGGTCTGACATATCATTTCAGATGCTTATTTAGAGGCCAGAATTCCAGGTTTAGGAAAATGGCAACGGTATTTCAGAGTCGCTAGCAATTTCCGCAAAACAAGTTGAATTGTTGGTACGCTCAAAAAATGAAGACGGGACTAGGTTTCCGCTTGGTTGTATATGAACTCAACGATATGCCAGTTGAGCTATTTTATACAACCAAGCGGAAACCTAGTCCCGTCTTCATTTTTTGAGCGTACCAACAATTCAACTTGTTTTGCGGAAATTGCTAGCGACTCTGAAATACCGTTGCCATTTTCCTAAACCTGGAATTCTGGCCTCTAAATAAGCATCTGAAATGATATGTCAGACCACATCCGTGGAAAAATGTGCTCTGCAACGTATACACTTACTTGACCCTAGAAGTAGGTCAGGGTCAATACGGTATCTTGCAAAAATCTTGGAAAAAACAGATAACTTTCATGTTTCGCTGAAACAACCTCCCCCCAATGAGGGCAACAATAAAATTGACATCATTTTCATAAAAGTACGCAATGTTTCTCATTCAAAATAGAACAAAATACTTTCTTCAGTGTTTCACTCCAAAAATCTGTAAATGGCTCATAACTAAGTTGTGAAAAATACTTCTTCTCACTCTGCTTAATTAACACTTTAACAGTCTAAATTACCATCCAAACTATTAGCAAGGCTAATGAAAAGTATCTACAAGCCTGCACGAACCTGAAAAAACAATTGTTGCATGAAAATACACAAATTTACATTTCCTGTCCAAAAATATCAAATGGATATTCCATACCAGTTTGCTTCCTGTATACATAATCATAAAAATCAACTTTTCTCTGCAAACTTTCTTTGCTGAATTTGCTAATAAATGGCAAATATCACTCAAAATTTCAAATACAAAAAATGTATTCAAAATGTACTAAACTTTGTACATAATTTCAAACTGTTGAATTTTGTTCTCAGTGTAAACTGTGCCAAAAGTCAATTCCCATGTATCAATAGCAAAAATTGAAATTTGCACCAACAAAGCTTTGTTATCATCTATCTTCTTAAAGCTGGAAAAAGTTGATTTTGAACAAGAACATAGAAAGTGAATAAATTTGTTATTCTGTGAATACTATAGACATACAAGGGGCAACCATGCAAGTTCTTTCACCATCCTTTGTTACATCCCAGCATGGACAACAATGCGGTGGGAGTAGCCCTTGTAAGAGGTACTGAAGCCATGCTACCCGTCATCAGGGCAAGGTTTTCAGGTTCAGAGCTGAAGATCCAAGGAAACGTGCTGTTAGATTCAGGGGCCCAGATCAGCATCATCAGACAAGGGCTCGCTGAAGACTTGGGACTGACAGGAAAGAGCATCAGTATCACAATAACCAAGGTGGGCTGTGTAGAGGAATCTGTGACAACATCCTTGTATAGAGTGCCGGTCAGTTCAGTAGATGGGAAGACAATCCATAAGATATTAGCTGTTGGATTACCGTGCATCAATGATGACATTGAGGAGGTGAACACTGATAACCTTGCCCGACAAGTAGGCCTCAACCCCAGAGAGTTACGTAGAGGTAGTGGGTCTATAGATCTTCTGATAGGAATTGACCACGCTATGATGCACGCAGGTGAAACGAGACAACGAGGCAACTTCATCTTTAGGAAGTCACCACTTGGATGGGTGGTGTTTGGAGCATCTAAGCTGAACCAGCAGTATCAGAATAGAGTGCTCAACGTGCAACTGAGTCCAGCAACTGACTTATCAGCGTTTTGGACTACAGAGTCGATGGGAGTTGATGTGGGTTGTCATTGTGAAGCCGAAAGGATGACTAAAGTAGAGAAAGATGAACATGATCTTATCTGGAACTCTGCCAAGAAGGCTCTCGTCAGCTGGGTTTTCTGCTCCACTCACATGTCTCCACTGTTGGGGATTCGACTTGCTTTGGATTTCTCCTACTCGAGCTGACACAAAGGGCTTAAAACTTCTTGCCTGACTTCGAACCCATCCAAGCACTATCATGCTATCTGTCATGAACACTGTCTCTCTTAACTCTAGTGTGGTCTCATCTCTGATGGTTGCATCAAGTCTAACAGCAACCACTGCAGCTTGTAGCTCCAATCTCGGCAGCGTCAACTTCTTTAGTGGTGCCACTCTAGATTTCGCCGTCACAAATCTAACATCATAGCTGCCATCCTCTAACTCCCAGCGAATGTAAACACAAGCTCCAAATGCCTCTTCAGATGCATCACAAAAGACACATAATGTAGGTCGTCTCATTGCACCGGGTGGTGTCAAACATCTCTGGAAGGACACTCCATCTAAGTTCTCCATCTCTCTGAAGAGTTTTACCCATTCTGCCTTTTCTCTGGAGGGTAGCTCTTCATCCCAATCTAAACCAAGCTGCCACAGGCGTTGCATTCCTATCTTTGCCTTCACCAGTAATGCTGAAGCAAATCCTATGGGATCAAAGATCTTTGCAATCTGGCTTAGTATCCGTCTCTTTGTCCATTTGCTAGTGGTGTCTTTCTGTTCGTCTGGAAGATCTGGGATCATACTTCTTTTCACTCTGTATGAAAACTCATCTGTGTTTTGGTTCCATACCATCCCCAGAACCTTCTCCTCACTCAGATTCTCAAGAACGTTGGTTTTCATCTGAGAAGTCTCATCTTTCAGCTGTTCGTTGGATTGCCAACCCTTCACCTTGAAGCCTCCGTCAGCTAGCACCTCATCTATGTCCTTGACAAGAGCTTTCGCCTCCTCTGACGTTCTTACTGAGGTACATATGTCGTCCATGTACGTATCACGTTTCAGTACTTCTGCTGCCTTAGGATGTTGAGACTCTCCCTCTACTGCTGTCCTCCTCAGAGCTATCTGGGCCATTGCTGCAGCAGGCTTATCTCCAAACGTGACTACAGTTTTCACGTACACATCCGGTTCTCTCTCTGAATCTAATCCTCTCCACAAGTACCGATGGACGTGCTGATCGGATTCTGGAATCAGTACTCGGTGGTACATCTTGGATATGTCGGCGCATATCGCAACTCTGTGTTCTCTGAAGCGAAGGAGTACTCCGAACAGACTCTGTAATAAGTCTGGCCCTTTGAACCAGTAGTCGTTCAGACACTGTCCCTTGAAAACTGCTGATGAGTTAAACACAATTCTCACTGGTGTGCTCTTTTTTTCCGGCCTGACAACCGCATGATGACCAATGTAATGGACAGGCCCATCATGCCTCTTCTTCTCTTCATCGGTCAGCTTTCTCGAAAACCCCATCTCGACCATCTCTTGCATCTGCTGTTTGTAAACTTCAGCATGCTCTGGGTTCTTTGCAAGCCTTTTCTCCGTCGCCTGAAGCATTCTCTCTGCTTGCACTCTGTTGTCAGGCAGCTTCTCTGGGTTATCCTTCCATGGGTAAGGAACAAGCCACTGCTTACCCATGGAAGGATAACCCAGAGAAGCTGCCTGACAACAGAGTGCAAGCAGAGAGAATGCTTCAGGCGACGGAGAAAAGGCTTGCAAAGAACCCAGAGCATGCTGAAGTTTACAAACAGCAGATGCAAGAGATGGTCGAGATGGGGTTTTCGAGAAAGCTGACCGATGAAGAGAAGAAGAGGCATGATGGGCCTGTCCATTACATTGGTCATCATGCGGTTGTCAGGCCGGAAAAAAAGAGCACACCAGTGAGAATTGTGTTTAACTCATCAGCAGTTTTCAAGGGACAGTGTCTGAACGACTACTGGTTCAAAGGGCCAGACTTATTACAGAGTCTGTTCGGAGTACTCCTTCGCTTCAGAGAACACAGAGTTGCGATATGCGCCGACATATCCAAGATGTACCACCGAGTACTGATTCCAGAATCCGATCAGCACGTCCATCGGTACTTGTGGAGAGGATTAGATTCAGAGAGAGAACCGGATGTGTACGTGAAAACTGTAGTCACGTTTGGAGATAAGCCTGCTGCAGCAATGGCCCAGATAGCTCTGAGGAGGACAGCAGTAGAGGGAGAGTCTCAACATCCTTCTTGGCAGAGTTCCAGATAAGATCATGTTCATCTTTCTCTACTTTAGTCATCCTTTCGGCTTCACAATGACAACCCACATCAACTCCCATCGACTCTGTAGTCCAAAACGCTGATAAGTCAGTTGCTGGACTCAGTTGCACGTTGAGCACTCTATTCTGATACTGCTGGTTCAGCTTAGATGCTCCAAACACCACCCATCCAAGTGGTGACTTCCTAAAGATGAAGTTGCCTCGTTGTCTCGTTTCACCTGCGTGCATCATAGCGTGGTCAATTCCTATCAGAAGATCTATAGACCCACTACCTCTACGTAACTCTCTGGGGTTGAGGCCTACTTGTCGGGCAAGGTTATCAGTGTTCACCTCCTCAATGTCATCATTGATGCACGGTAATCCAACAGCTAATATCTTATGGATTGTCTTCCCATCTACTGAACTGACCGGCACTCTATACAAGGATGTTGTTCCAGAGCCGGTACATCGAGAACTGAAGCAATGCCGACTGATGACATGACAAGCCTAAGGTTGAAGAGGAGAGGGACCAAAGCCAAGTTCACCAGGTTGGGGAATGTTTTGGATTTCCTGATAGAGGAAAAGCGGCCGGTGGAAGAGGTGAAGGAAGCTTTCAAACAAGCCAACCAGGCTTACGTAGACCTCCAATCCAAACACGAGGCCTATACAGAGAAGATTGAGAACGATGAAGAATTCAACAAGGAGGAGCTATGGCTTGATGAGTGCCAGAATTATTTCTGCAAGCTCCAGATCCGAGAGAAGGATTATATCTCTCAGATGTCTTCGTCGCAAGAGCCTCAACAACCAACAGAGAGAGATGAGGAGAGCTCCCAGAGAACTGTTGTTCAAGCAGAGTCGAACCGGCCTCAAGCTCCTCGCTTCAACATGGAGAGGCCCAAGTTACCAACGTTCCAAGGAGACATAAGAGAATACAATGTATTCAAGGCTGATTTTCAGCATGTTATACATCCACACTACGATGAAAGGGATGCTTTGATGATCCTGAGGTCTTGTTTGAAGGGGAAGCCACTTCAACACATTAGAGGAATAGGGCGAGATTATGAAGCTGCATGGGGTCAACTAGATCTGCTCTACGGAGACTCAAGGATGGTAGCTGATGCTATTATGGAAGATGTATCCCGATTTCGTCCTCTGAAAGATGGGGAAGATGAGAGATTCTGTGACTTTGTGAATCTCATACGCAGAAGTTTCAATACCTTGAAGGAGGTAGATAGAGCTGAGGATATGAACAATAGTCACATGCTAGCCATCATTGAGAAGAAGCTCTATGTCACAGATCGACAGATGTGGTTCCGAAAGCAAGGAGAAGGAACAACGGCGACATTAGAGGCACTGTTGAAGTGGATGGAGATTGAGTTGAGAGCAAGGATAAGATCATCTGCTCCAGTGAGAAATGATGCAGCCTCTAAGTCCAGATCCACTGTTAGTCAGGTCACAGCTTTTGAGGAAAGACAGCAAGACTATCGTTGCTGGATCTGCAAGAATAAGGATGGGCACTGGACTGACCAATGCAAGACTTTCCTCGATAAGTCTACAGCGGAGAGGTTGGAGATGGTGAAGAGTAACCGAGCTTGTTATAGCTGTTTGAAGCAAGCCGGCAGAGAGCATCGAATGGCTACTTGCAAGAAAAGGAGACGGTGTCCAGAGAAATACAAGCGGAAACCTAGTCCTGTCTTCATTTTTTGAGCGTACCAATTATCTTGCTTTCTTTCTACTTAGTGTCTTCAGTCCCTAATAATTGTTCTCCCGCTCGATGTCTTCTCTGCATATATGTATGCCCATTATCTGACTTACTTTCTCACCGATTTCTCTCCTTCTCTCAAAACTTCTCCTCATCTAGGTCCCCTCTCTTTCCTCTATGCCTCGATAGCTCGTCCTGTTTCTCTCCCTTGCATTCGTTTCCATTCCATCCGCCACGGTTTGCAACTGAACGCTCGCAGAATACATAATAGTCAATTTACATCATAATTTGCGATTAGTGGGACTGTCGTCGTGTCTTGCTTTTTATTCACACACTTGTTCGAATAGAAGCACCACAAGTTTTTTTCTCTCAGTGATGCTTTTTAGCATATGGTGAATGGGAGAAACATGGCTGTATGGAGCAGCACACAGTGGACGGGGCTTAGGCTATTAGTGCCCCGCGACATATTTCAATCTTGCACAAAGGCGTACCTAGGGGCGCAAGGGGGCACGTGCCCCTCGCCCTTCTCGTGGAAACATAACAAACAAGACAGAGACAAAAAAGAGATAAGGGAAAGGGCAGTGATTAGAGGGAAGGTAAACAAAAATTAGTCGCTTCGATTATCTTCTTCATCCTCCCCTCCTGATCAAGTCCTTGTTACCTTGCATTTCATCCACCCGGTGCCCCTCTCCCCACCCCTCCCCCAAGGATGTGGTGCCCCTCAATGTCTGGGCTCACGCTATGCTACTGATTATTGATTGTTAGTATATGGTCTAACATAATTATTAGGCCTACTGATAGGTCGGATAAATGGTTTTAATTGCTGCCAGCACACTCTTAAATTAAAAAATATTATAAATGTGTTATGATGAAGTCTTCGAGTGGACTTTGTCTCCCTATTTGAATGTGTGTATGTTGACACAATATACAGCAAACAATAATTATGATCTATAGCGATATCAAAAGAAAAAATAGAAGAAAAAATATTTGATACGCTTGTAAATTTTAAGGACCAGGAGTATTATTATGCTTCCTCAGTTAAGAAGTTAGTTCATGATCTTCATGGAAATATTATCTTCCAATCCATCGTGAATGCTTGGGATTGCATGCGAAGATGCAGACATAAGTCTCTCATGGTACTTAAAGGCATCCGGTACTTTGTCTCAGATTTTGAAACAAAATCCTGGATTTAGCTTGTGCTGCAATGATAATTATAAATCTTTAGGTCAGTCGGGAACTCCATGACTTTTACAAGCCGATCGCCTGTCTGATTATCAAGATATTTATGATTGGAATTACAAATTTTGAAAACCGTTTGTCGAACGGTTTTCATAACACTACAGTCTATTGGGGAAAACGAGTATGGTAAAACCGGTCACTCAAAGATTTTTTTTTTTTCTTTTTTGAGGCACTTCTTGATCATTTTGAAGCGCAATTTGTTTAGGGCTTCAATACAACACTATATCACAGACACTGACAACACATAGGGCCGTGCATCTCAGATTTAACATTGTTAAACGATACCTTTAATATAGGGTAGTGACTCCGGTCAAAGCATTACCACTTGTCCTACGTGCTAAATGAAATAAAGGGCTTCGTAAGGATCGATACGGGAGGCAGCGTTTCATCGCCGCCTTTGGTCAAAACCTGTCATAAACCTAATTGGAAGTGCACACCGGGTTCAACATTCAATATCCATGTCAGTCGCCGCATCCTCGCTCCATACCCTGATTTTGTTTGTGAGAAAGGCACATTTTTGCCACCTTATTCAGAATTGTGAAATCCTAAAGATGCTCTCAACTAATTTTGAACTTGTTATTTCAACCATTAATGTTAAGGTGAAAAATACTAAAACTGTGTATTTTAACTCATTTAATTCATCATCATCATCATCGTTAACACCATTTCCGCCATCATCGATAACACCATCACCATCATCCCATCATCATAACCCCCATCATCATCATCATCATCATAATTATCATTAATCATCATCATCATCACCATCATCATCATCATCACCATCACCATTACCATCACCATCCTCATCTCCACCACCACCATTATCATCATCATCACCATCATCACCATCATCATCACCATCATCATCACCACCATCATCATCATCACCACCATCATTATCATGAATTAACACCACCACCATCACCATCATCATCACCATCATCACCACCATCTTCTTCAACATCGTCATAATCATCAAAATCAAACCCATTTTCATTTTCTATGACAAAAATGAAAGGTGAACAACATATTGTATATTGACCCATTTAATTCCTCTGGTTACTACAATGTCCTGTAGCTGTGTGATTGCCACCCACCACCTCAGTCTACTACTGTGGGACGACATCTTCTAAGTATGGAACAAGATATTCACGCCAAGGGGACGTTTCCGCGTGCCTGCTATTGATTAGTGTAATTGGTGATATACTGCCGAGACGAATGTCATCGCGCTCGTATGGGTTCAACCATTCCCATATACATTCGAGGGTTTAGCTTTGAGTCATGTAGTATGTTACATGGTTTATGGTGCAGTGTGATTGCGGTTTTAACGATAATAATAATCATCATAAAAATGAGGGGGAAAAAAATCATAAAATTGATAGTG